AAATTATTTGTTTCGAAAGATAAATTATTCTTCAATGCTCAGTTTAACACTTTTACGGTGATAAAAGCTCATTGTCTAAAACTTACGAAACACAGACGTATTCAGAAAGAGTATTGACAGAGATCGCCGCCAGAACAAAAGCAGTTTCATTGCCTGTCTGACATCTTATCACCGCTGAACAATAAAGAGGTGTGAATATTTTTAGGCATGTTGTCGAAACAAATGAATAGGATTAGGAACACTGCCGTTTTGGAACAGCTGGTTGAAACAATGAAGTCAGTCACGGTCTTATTGAATTGGGGGTGCGGTTAGTAATAGGTACTTTTCAAGTTTTCAATTTTTGTTAAGAACTCTTTAACCCCGAAGCCGGAATTGGGGGTGCGGTTACTATTACGTATGCGGTTTATATTAGGACTTTAACGGTAGCAGTGTGTAAGGGCTGTGTAATTTCCTGTTTGTCCAACGCTTCGTTTTCATGTCACTGTCAAAATTATTGCTACCTTTTACTTAACAAGGGACTAAATGGTCTCTATAAAACGATAATCAGGATCGCAAAAAAATCAACTCATTTGAAACACTTGCCGGACGTCTCTCTCTCTTCTGAAATTCGCCTCGGTCATCATTGTCCGGAATCTATTTCTTTCAAAAGTGTTGCGCCAGGTTTATGTTGGCGGCGTTTTTCTTTAAACCTAGGGGTTTTTTTTCATGGACAAGGACAGTTTTTCCAAAAAAGGAATCTGAGGTTTAGTAGCTTTCGTCCACTGATGTCGCACCTTCGGATCGGTTAGAAACGTGTGAATACTTACACTATGACTATACGTTTATTACAGAGTATTGCATACTAACCCCTTTGGTTAATGAAATTTTAATTTCATAAACAAATGGGATAATTGCCAATTATCATATAATACTGGTTAAATAAAATCGAAATAACAGTGGATAGCTCCCGTAGGGGGCGTCCTTCCCCTGTCATCTGATTTGCATACTTCCAATTTTAACCACGAGATTGATTCACGGTTGAAATTTGGGCTTGCCAAAATATCATTGTTTTTGCGGTGGAAATACATTGTTACCACCCATCAACACAGCCACCGAACTATTAGTGTGTCAGGAAGCTCTTGTGGACATCAAGAACTTCGTACTTAGTCACCTTGAGTAAAAAATTGTAGTTTTAGTAACGAAACTCAAAAGCCCGCCTTCAGTTTCAAGATGGCGGAAAATATGGATACCGGAGAGTTGAACACCGTTCATCCCAGCACTTCGGATTCAAACACTTTCGGACGAAAGTGTGAAGAGTGCCATATATCGATGCTCAC